CCACCCCTGATCTTCTGGTTGGAAAGATCTACTCCTAGCCTTCTCGGACAAGGGCAAAAAATCTCAGAGGGCCCGTGTGCAAGTTGTGCACGTTAAAGATCCCTTGGTGGTCTAAAATCGATAAGAGTAGGCTTCGGCCGCCACTTGGGCAAAATTCAAAATTTCCTACCAACTGAAAATATTAGGTGTGTCCCGCGCTCATATGACCTTATGCAGTTACGAGCGCCCTAAAACTCTTTACAAAAACAAAAAAAATCTTCTCCTATAGGTAGCGCAATGCCCACTTTTACTGTAGGGCAAGATTTCTGGAATCCTCCGAAATCTGGGTTTGCTCACTTGTCCTCAAAAGCGACCAGTTTTAACTTAGCAGGTGCCAGTCGTCAATGTCATAAAGGCAAGGCTCTCCACTTTGCATGCAGGTGATGTAAATTTTTAATCCCTGAGGGTAAAACATTAAATCAAGGATCTGTTTCACAGGAAGCCGCCAATGACATGCATTGCAAAAGTAACCAGCCTCCTACACTATCAAAACAGCGTTGATGGAGGCACAAACAACTACAACGATAATCGTTTACTACCACATATTTTTTTAAATTAATAAACATCAGCACCAGCAACAGATAATATCTTTGTTACTAATAGCTACCCAATTGAAAAATTAAGTGTAAATTCAGAAAGCAGCGAAATAGATGCGCAGTTTTAATTGTCTAAAACGGCCAACAATCGTCGAGTAGAAAAATGGTTGTCTTAGATAGGTGGACGTCTTACACTGTGTCATTGTGTAAAAAAAAATAGTTAAGGGAGGAAATGGGAAGTTCCTTTTTGTACAGGTTCTTGTTTTATACAGGTGGCCAATAGAGCATAGAATTCATAACATGTCTTTATGCTCCTCTTAAGAAGCATATCATATTATACTTTTACTATTACTTTGATATTCTCTGTTGCCGTCAAAATGTGTCGAGGGGAGATGCAGTGTTCTATGATAAGGCAACTCTGCGGCTCTTTCAATTGGGGTGTTATAAACTCGCACAAAAAAGTCAAGGAACAAAAATTCAAAGAAAGATTACTGAAGAACAATTTAACCGAATTTATTCATTTTTTTCACAAAAGATGCTTTCGACTCTCTAGATTAAGTGTGAACAATTTCAGATTTCAACAACAACGAGAAGTTTATGTAATATAAGTTTAAGTCACACTGGTCGGATTTCAAAAGTCTGAACAGCCAAAGTTCTTCATGAACATTGTCAATAGTGGATGTAGCCACTCCGTTTGATCAAACACTCGGCACAGCGTCGAAGCATGGACAGGACATGCCTTCGGAGAACTTGTTGGGGTAGGTTCTGCACTCCTGGACGAGGTAGACCAAGAGTTGTTGAAGGTTTTGTGCAGGAGGGTGGTGATCCCTTATCCACCGGTCAATGTGATCCCAAATGCTCTCTGTTGAGTTCAAATCCGGACTACAAGCTGGTCAGTCCATGCAGGTGACACCTCGCTGCAGCAGGAAGTCCCCCACGATGCGTGCGCGATATGGCGTGGCGTTGTCATCCTGCAGTACAGACTGGAGTCCAATCTGCTTCAGGAGAGGAACAGCAAGGGGACGCAGGATTTCCTCCCTGTACCTTGCCGAGGTCAAATTACCCTGTATATGGTACACGGGGTCCTATGGTGAGCTGAGAAGCCCCCCTTCACCACGCACAACGGACCCTGCAAAGTAGAGCGCCACCTGCTGGATGCACTCAAGGTGGAACAGCTCTCCTTGGCGCCTCCAGACGTGAGCTCGCCTGTCTGGGTGCAACAGGTTGAATCTGGATTCGTTCGAGAAGACTACCTGGTCCCACTGACAATGTTTTCACTGTTATT